GTTTTCTGGTTATGTATCCTGGACATTTCTGGGCTATACTTTGTTAGAATCATCAGTAAGGTGCTGATCTTTATTAACTATTTAAAAATACTTGTAATTTTTCATTACTACAAATTATTTAGCAGATAACATTGAAGTATTGAACAGAAATTACACTCTTTTTAATCTATCTTCACTTCACTAGCTTTCCCAATTTTCTTATTGGCTTCCATACCTCCAACTTTTGGTTGGAATATCCCTCCATCCATATCTTTGTGATTCGATTTGATGATTATTGTCATACTTCTGTAATGATATATATATATATATATATATATATATTGCTTTCTTTTATTATCCTTGTAGATCTGAAATTCATGAAAAGATGCATTTTTTACTGTAGATGCATTTTTGACTGTATATTAAGAAAAGTGTGCCTGCATTTTATGTTGGTTTCCCTGGTAATATTTATTTGCACGTGTTATTTAGGATTTTTGGTCTCATTCCCTTGCAGTGCTGAATGCTGACATATATCTTATTTCCATTGTCCAGAAACTGTGCCGATTAGAACCGTGAATAGGCAGTGTTCTTCTGGTCTTCAGGCAGCTGCTGATGTAGCTGCAGCTACTAAAGCTGGATTTTATGATATTGGTAAGGGTCATCTATTATTGGAAAATGGCTTGGATATATGTCAGCAATCTTGATGCCTCATCTGTTCTTTATTTATTTTTTAAAATATATGATCTGTCAATTTGTTTATTTTCTAATGTTGTCACACTACTCACGTTATTGATTTCCTTGACCTGTGTTGTTAGGTTGAGTCACATAGGAAGGCTGCTGCTGCAACTGCCTCTGGTAAATTTAAAGAGGAAATAATCCCCGTGGATACCAAGGTACAACATTTTTATTGCAGTTTCAGTAAGATTGTGATACCAAATTTTAGCTGCTCATTCACTGTTTCCAAGTTTGTGTATGGTACAAATTTGTGCTCTGATATGTATATACTTTCTTTAAAAAGATTGTTGATCCAAAAACTGGAGATGAGAAACCCGACCAATATATATGTGTGTATGTGTGTGTGAATGCAGTCCCATCTAGGTTGATCATTTTGAAGTTTCTAATCATTTGTCTCAATTGAGGTGCAAAACTTCCAGGTGTAAGTTTCTGTAAGTTTTTAATCATTTGTCTCAAATGTGGGTTTTGTTGCTCTGCTCTTTCTTTTTTAAACTTGTAAGGTGGAATTTTATGCTTATGGGTATTTAGAAAATTTAATCTTTATAATGAGTTGATTTGAGGAAGGGAATGATTAAGTGGTTTTGTATTCTTCACAGAGTGTTCTGGGAATTATACTTGGAGGTGGAGCTGGGACTCGCCTTTACCCTGTTACAAAGAAGAGAGCAAAACCAGCTGTTCCTTTAGGAGCAAATTATCACCTGATTTGGCTTCCATATTTTGATGCAGGCATCCGGACCAATGAAGATTACAGATTCTATGCTACATCAACTGGGTTCAGTGAATTTAGTAGCAAGGACAAGACATTAAATTAAATCAAAACTCATGGGGTTTGTCTTAATGTTTTGCCTGTTATTTTTTGGCGAATGTTAAAACATGATTTATGGATATGTTATTTTGTAGTTAATGGTAATTGTATATTAAATTGAATGGGAAAGTGAATTAATGTTATATTTGCTACCTGACAGCTTTTCATATAATTGGTTTATCTTTTGACAAATGTTTATTTGAATGGGAACGGGAATTATTGATTCATATTAGTACTATTTTTCAATTTTATTACAGGTATTTTTTGGTTCAACCAAATAGAATGAGCACAATTTAAAACAAATAAATTAAAAAAATAAAGATATAATGGCGTTTTTGAAAATGCCACTATACAGTCAACAGTTATATTTTTAAAATCTGAAAAAAGCTATGATGACGTTTTTGAAACGTCGCTAAAAATTGTCATGACGTCAATTTAACATTATGTATATAACGACGTTTTTAAAGCGCCCCAATGTTATAGCGACGGCCGCATCTTTGACATTTGGTACTAAGCGCCACAAAAAGAATTAACGGCGTTTTTAACACTTATAGCGGCGTTTTTTAAACGCCGCTAAAAGATGAATTTCCTGCAGTGTTAGTAGCCCAAACAGGCAAGCCCTTTGTCTCAACCCTTTACAGACATACAGATTTAGCAATGGGTGAGCAGCTAAGACCTAGTAGATTGGTGTGGCTGAATTATCTTCCACCCAAAGTGCAATTTTTTGGGTGGCTTGCTTGGATACACAAAGGTAAAAACCTCTTCTTTCCTGCAGAGGATTGGAGTTCTAGATGGGAGTGCATCTATCCTTTGTGTCTTCTGCAAAGCTAAACAAGAGTCAGATGAGCATGTACTTTCTCTATGCTCTATGGTTTGGAAGGTTTGGACTAGTTTGTTGAAGTGGTGGGGAGCACAATGGGTAGTACCTGGATCAGTTGAAAGTCTGTTGCAGTGGTGGCTTGGAAATAGGTTCAAGAAACTAGAAAAGAAGATATGGAATGCTATACTTTTAGTTGCCCTCTGGTCCATGTGGAAGCGCAGAAATGAATTCCTGTTTAATGGCATTCAACCAAGGATGGGAGAGCTGCAGGAATCGATCATCGTTGGATTAGCTATCTGACTGAAAGCTACATCCAAGGATCTGCAATACTCTATCAATGACTTTTTGTTCAATATTTTGCAGTTAGAGCTTGTATAGATGGTAGGTTGTAATTTGTCTGTTAGCTCATGGGGCTATTTTTGAGTTGTACCAAGTCTGGCTTTGGGTACCAACATAGTTAGATGTTTTGCTTCAGCAATGATGCAATTTCCCCCAAGCTATTTTTATAACATCTTTCTTTTAATAAAATTTGATTTTTCTTGCAACTCAAAAAAAATATATATATATATATGTGGGAGGTAACCTCCTCACCTATGCAAAGAGTGCTTGAACTCATGACCTCCCCTTGAGATTAAACCCTTAGGATAGTCATGATGACCAACTAGGTTAGGCCTATTTGGTTGTAAGTGGTAAACTTTATACACATTAATAATTAAATTCATAAATTTTTCCATGAATCTATAATAATTTTCTTGTAGTACCATTGTTTGGTAGTTTCCGCTTGTTTATATGCCACATAAGGTTTGTTTGAATCACTGAATTATATGGAGATTTAGAAAGCAAAAGAGAAATAGAAAAAAAATAAACTTATATTTCATTCACATCTTTTTTCCCTTTTGGGTAAATTACATTCACCTCCCCTGAGGTTTTGAAAAAATATAGTTAGCCCCACACTTTTCACATAATTACACTGACCTCCTTTAATTTAATTTACGTAACTTATAAATTATTTTTTATTACTAATTCATTAGTCATACTAATGAATTAAAAATTGATATTGTCGTCTCTTTTCTATTAAAATGTATATTTAGCTTTGTTTATTTTGTTATCTGCATTAATTTCAATCATTTGAGTGTTACTAAAAGAGAGATCAATGTAAATATGTGAATTAATTTCAATCATGTTTGTTTCTTTGTTTCCTTGCCGGCTTCTCACCAAACTTGATGCTTGTGCTAGCAAATGATCGAGTATGCTTCGTGGTGCCAACCCAGTTGGGACCGTATAGCTTTTTTTTTTCTTCTTAAATAGCTGCTCAAAATAATACATGTCCAGACCTTCAAGAGAAAGGTTAGTAGTGGTTATCCTGTCTATATCAAGGGAAACTAATAATTTTTCAACTTCTCCACAGCAACCAACTTCATCAGCTTTATCATTTTTTCTCCTTTTAATAATTTTCCTTGTCATTTTTTTACCAATCAAATCTTATTTAGTTTGCATCTCAAGTGAATGTTAAGTATTGGACGGTTAAGGATTATTTATTTATTTGACAATAAACAACAATTATTTACAAATATTATGATAACAAATATTAAACTCGACATTCAATTTAAGAAAGTTCAATTTCCATAAATTAAAAAACGAACTTAATAAAGTTCAATACACGATAGCAACATCAAACAAGACATTCAAATTAAGAAAATGATGAAGCAAATGTGAACAATAGTAAAATCGCATAAAAAAAAGTTGTAACTCTTTTACAACCTGCTGAATCTGAATATTATTAGAATTATATGAAAAAATAAAAGAAATCTCTCTACAAAACTTTATTAATCAATATTAAGTTAAAACTAAAGAACTGTACAAGCACGAAATAATGTTCTCGTATAATCCTGTTGGTCAAGTCTGCGCTGCTCCAAACGTCGTCGCTTTACTCTCTGAAAACACAATCGTGAGCTAGCT